GCTTCCTTTGGTGGCGTAGCTTTAAATGGGCGTGGACAAGCGCACACTTGACGCTCTATTGACTATGTAGCCAAGCTCCCCCTCAAGTGTGTACTTATGATTCCTCCCAAAAGCCCCCAATTCCCGCCTCTACTTTTTTTTTTTTTAGAAATTTTCAGTTTGCGTTACTTTGGCAAGTTTTCCGGTGTCGCTTTTTGCACCTCGATGACTGTTGGCGGCTGTCGATGTCGTTGTCGTCGCTCGAAGTTGTTGGCGGTGTGGCGCCGCCCGCTGTCAACAACTCAAAATGCTTCCGTGCAATCGCTTTTTACAGCTTCCGAACAATTTGATTTGATTCCATTAAAAAAGTTCCTCTAGTGATTTCCGTCAAGTTCTCACCTCTCATCGCGCCGCATGTGAAGTTTGCAGCCGTTGCAACGGATACGACATCACTTCAAAAAAAGTTACTTCCGCTAACGATATCATTCTATGAACTCATTGAACAAAAAGTCTATTAGGTCAAAGTGTTTGGGATATGTTTTCCTATATGAATGTTGCGAATTTTTATATCTACCAAATTTGTATTTTACAAGTTTGTATTTGATATTTATTCTATGTTTGCCAGCTAAAATAATATCGTCTTTATTTTAATTAATTATTTACATTTAACGTATAATGTAAGTAAAGGTACCAGTTGTTATGTTATCTTATTTAAAAGAAATCCCAGCTCTTTAAAAATGTTTCAATGGTATCTCTTCGTATCTGTTGTTTGGCATAGAAATTCTAGTTTAATATTCTGAATATTTTTTTTTTGAGTGCAGAATCTATCTTTCTGCCCTCCTGGACTTCCTGTTCGAAGACTGTTTCATAAGCCGAGGTATAAGGTTGAGTGGTGCGGGGGGCTTGCCTAAATAATTGTGACATTGGCACGTCAGCTTCGTGCAACGCGCGTCGAGTGTTGCATACTTTTAAGCACACCCCCCGCCACCCACATTCGCCCCCTTCAAGGACTCATCGCCGCGTCGATGCATGTCATTTGCTGGCAGATTGACAAACTTTGGTGCGTTCTGCGGGGCGTCGAGGGAGGAGGTGAGTGTGTGTGTGATGAATATGGGGGACGTCAGCGTGTAATGTCAACTTGCAACTCGCACTGATGCCAAGCAATTTCAATTGACGACACGAACGACGGCAATTGCCGGCTTTAAAGGGATAAGGCGCCATAATGATGAAGCATAAGGGTTGCCGGAATTGTCATAAAAACGCTTTGGCATCGCGACAGTCGTAAAACCTTAACCCTCAGCAAAGATAGTTATAATTGCGGAGTGGGAGTTGTTAAACTTGGAGTCGATAAAAGCCCCCTACAGACCACAAATGTGATAAAAAGGAGTACTTTTATGGCCTTAGTTTTAAATCATTATAAAATTAGCTAGAACATGGATGAATTAACATGGAAAATATTTTATATTAATTAATTATCTTATCATTTTGGGATAGTTTACTTAAGAGTCTACAGGATTTTAAAATGAGACCCCATAAATATCAACGTTTTGCTACTACTAATTTGATAATTAGATAGTTTTACTGTTTGAATAAAATGAACATGGATTTAAATGTTCCGCTGTACAGATGAGAAAAAGGGCATTTGACAACTTTTCGGGTAAATTCCCCTTTCACAAAAAGGGACAGATCTGTCCGAAGAAGAGACAAACATTGGCAGCACTGTTTTAGGGGGTTATCCAACTGACATTTATGCAAATCGAAATTCGGGTTAACAACGTCAGCAGTCAAGGGCTGTAATGTTATATATAAAATTTACTATCCCAGCTGTTTCCGATTGTCGTCGTTCGGTCGGTTATGGAATTTAAGCTCTGCAAATATGCATTTAACACACTTCGGCGTGTCGAGATGCGGCAACAGTCTGCCCGATGTGTACGTATGTATAAATAAAAATCGCCAGCAGCTGTTGGACGGACGGTTTGGGATTGGACGGCATGGGATGCGATGGTATGGGAATGGTTCTGGGTGGAATGGGATGGACGGACGGATGGATGGCTGCTTGGGACATGGGACGTGGGCAGTGCAGTGCAGTGCGGCATTTTGAGGAGCATATAAAAAGTTTGGCTCCCATGTTGTCGCATGGAATTTATGATGAATTTTCCAACTCGACGCATATTGCAGAACATTTTTGGGTCCGGTCGGCCTAGGCCTGTGATTCATCCTCCCTTTTTCCCGCTTTTCGGGGCTCACAACCATGAACTGCAACCACAGCAGCCGCAACGCAGGCAGATCCCAAACCCGAACCAGAGCCCGGGCAGCATTTGGTCCATGGCTTGTTCCTGGTCTTCTCACTCTCTCTCCTTCTCTCTCTTACTTTTTTTTTTTTGACTGAATCCTAGCCCATTCCCCAGTCTCGCCCAGCTTTTGCCGGTTGTTCGGCCACATGACGGAGTCGTCCTGCATCCAAAGTCCACCGTCCAGAATCCAGAATCCAAAAGCTGCCCAAGGGTGCGTACTCTGAAATTGTTTTAGTGCTGTTAGAAAATTTTGAATGCGATTTGACATGTATAGAGCAGTGAGTGCGGAAAGGCCAACGGCGTCACTGGCGCTAACAAATTCTGTTAGAGCGAAATGGAGAAAGCGTTTCCCAACGAATTATGTAGTTTTGTTACTTTGTTAAGTGAGTCCCGTTGGCTCGTAATATATTCGGTTAAGAAACAAGACAATTAGCAAGTTGCACAATAAAGTAATCATTTTTTTTGCTACTTGTAGTGATAACAAGTGTTGCAAACTCAAATATAATTTCACTACACATTTGATTTATAGTTAATTAATAAATTATAATTGTGAGATACTTTCTTTCGATTCTATTGTATTGCTACACCAAATGTGAGACTACCAATGTACATAAAATACTAAAAATTAAAATAGTAAAATAAATTTAATACTTTCCAGAATAAGTATTAGTTAGAAGAAAGGAATAAGTTGAGGCAAATACTAAAATAATTAACCCATCAACTATATAAAGGAATTGACACATAATAAATTTAATGGAAATGGTTTTTACTTCTACTCCACGCCCCCTTTTGTTACCTAATCTGCTTGATTATTCCGCTCATTTTCAAGACTCCGGCTCCCCATATTATTATGCCATTGAGCAGGCCATAATCATAATCATAGCATTTATCTAATATGCCAGCGAAAATATTTGCCCATTTAATAAGGGAGCGATTCGAATCGACTCCCAACCCAGACCCAAAACCAAAACCAAGCCCCAGCCAAAAATGGAAGCTGAAATGCGGATGGAGGCAAACAAGTCGCAAATTGAATTGATTGGTGGGCAAACAAGCGTCGACCCGGATGCCACGCCCTAAAAAAAAAAGACGGGTAAACAGATCCCGGAGCAGAATATAACCAGAATCTCTAACCAGAATCGGGGCCATGGCTAAAACCACAGGCCCTAATTGAGCGTGAACATAGAGAGCATAATGCGCGGCCGAAAAGCGGACTTCAATTTTGATAAGAAGCTCCGAGCTGGAACTGCGAAATACGCAATTAGCCCCCCGAAAAGTAAAATGGCCAAGCAAATTGTCAAAGAGCCGGTGAAATTGTTTACAAACCAATTACAAAACTGCGAGCCGCAGACAATGGCAACAGATTTCCAGCTTGCTGTGACCTTTGAACCCGAAACGCGACTCCTTCCTTGGCCCTCGAGGCGCAGCTGCTCGAAAGTAGAATCCAGCGGAGCGCCAAAAATTGCGTTATCTTAATGAGTTTAAACGTTAATCAGGCAAGGCAAAGCCACCGAAAAAACGCGGGGGAGGATACGGAAATGGTGGCCATTTTGCTGGCCAGTTTAGTTGGCCAGTGGGCCAAAAAAAGAGACCAAAACTGCCGGCTGCGGCAAACGGAAGTCGAAGAGTCGGGCAAAGTCGAAAGTCCGAGGCGGCACGGATGCATATTAAATTAATAATTTGACCTCATCCTGTGACTGCCACAAGCTAGCAAACTCGACCGAGAGTCTGGGCTAATTTCTGCATCCGCCCGCCGAGATTTTTGTTTGCTGATTGCGACAAGGACAACACGGGTGCGGGGGCCATGTTGCGCTAATGTTTCACCCGAGACCGGGGACCCCAGATTCGGAGAGCCGGTCCCCGACACCGAGAAACCGAGAGATAAACAATTAAAAACTTTTGCAATTTGCGGTAATTCCACTCTTAACCCCTTGGACGCCAAGTGCGCATAGCAAGTACATAGTTGTAGCGTTGGATTGGGACAAGTTCACAGAGAGCAAAATCGCGTTGGGACAACGAATATGATTCCTAGGTGGAAAATAATTAGTTCACAATTTACGTATTAGGTGGTTTGGCTTAATACTACTAAAGATCAAGAAAAGTGACAGAAATAATATTGATAACATGCACCTCACTCTTAATCCTATAAGTTCAAAGTTGTATTTATATCTAAACTTAACTTTGGGCCACTCAGGTTTTAGTTGGTGTAAAGTATTAAAAAATGTATTAAAGTCAGTAATTTATAACAACGCAAAAACCCTTCTGAAGCAATTGTTCTTGTGTCTTTTGTTGATAAGCATGTATAGATTTATATACTCTTGACTTAAAATTTTATAAAAATCGTTAATTATCTAATATAATATAATATTAACACTTCATTGCTTCGGATAAATATTTTCTGCGATCCGATGTTATATCCGATCTGATGTTATATATTAATGTTATATATTCATATATTTAAAACCTTGAAAACTTCAGTTAATTTAAAACTAAAAACGTGCCCTTCTGTATTTTCAGTGTATATAATATAACGGTTCCATTCGATATCTTATCGCTAGATCTCGTATGACTGCTTGGACTGATAAGGCTGTGTGGTCTTAACTTGGTTTGAGTTGGGTGCAGTCATGTAATTTTTGTTGATTTTGCGCTCGCTTTTTCTTATCAATCAAAACAGAGTGCAAAAATTTCACCCGGCACTTCGTTGGTGGTAAGGCCTATAAATACCGAAGGCATTTTCGCAGTTGACCAGAAAAAGAGTTTCAAATTATTCAGTATTCTGTTGAATAAATAAAAACAAAAAGTTAAAAACAATGGTTTGCAAAGGTTGCGGAGCTAGTGAGTTTATAAATAATAATTAATCGTTCAATGGAGGGATTGACTTAAACTTAATTTTATAGACTGCAAGTGCACGGACACCAAGTGCGGCGACAACTGTGCCTGCAGCAAGGACTGCAGCTGCGTTTGCAAGAAGGGACCCAAGGACCAGTGCTGCAAGACCAAGTAGATAGATAGTCAATCGATCAAATGAAAACCAATAAATAAGCCCGGTCTCTAAACCACAAACGTAAAAACATATCACTGACCATTGAATGTCTGCCAGAAACGATATTCGCTTAATTACAATTTGGTGCGCCGCGCTAAAAATGTTGCAAAACACAGACATGTCGAGGACAAATATTTACCATGGCATTATGGCGTGTGTGGCCCAGCGGCCAAGTCCTCTTTTGGCCAAGTGTCACACATTTGGCCAGGGTCGCGTTGCAAAATGCGCAATTATTGCATTTGTGGCGCGTGGCAGGCGGCAGGCAGGATGGTTTGCAAAATTTATGCGGTCTCATTTGGAACTGCGACGAGGACACAACTCGAAATTGTGACACTTGTAAGTGAGCGTGAAATAATTTCGCACATTAAGTATACGCAGCGGGGGCCCACAACAATGCGGCTGCCATTAGGAGTGCAATTGTTTAAGCAATTAATTAGCACTGTTCGCTGAGAAATAGCCGCAGCAGCAAAAAAAATATGAAGCGTGGGCCACTTAAGGACTTCTTCCACTCAGATTGCCTTCATAATAACCTCGGCAAAGTGAGTTTAGCGCCGAAGGAAACCTCATGCTTCACTCCCAACAATGAACTTCGGCGTCGGCAGGGGAAAAATGCTAACCGCAAATTGCGGAAATGCCTGTCTGGCCCGTCTGCCTCTCTAATTGTCTGTACATAATTTAGGCAAACATTTTTAATTAAGTGCAATGCTCGACGCACAGCCGAGTACATGGCTTGGTTTTTAATTCCACCATTAATCTTGCAAAGCCATTTTGCGAGGTGTACTCGAGCAGTTGAAGGCGGCAATTAGGGTGAATTTTAGACCTTATTCTGGAGAACAATGAGCAGTTGCCACTTTTTGAGTCCTCCCCAAGCAACTTCGTTTTCATTTAGTGGTTTGATGATGGTTTTACTCTTTCTAAATGGTTATATTAACTGTGAGCTCAATTTGCCCAGATTTAAGATGAAATACGTTTTTTATGACCTTAAACTTTCAAGTATTTTGCCATACAGGCAGACTAAGAAATAAACAAAGTAAGTTAATTATAAAATTGGCCACATCTCAGGCAAGAACTTGTTGAGTTACTCTGGCAGGAGAATGAAAACTTGAACACTTGGGGGCCATCCAGGCTTTCTTATCACCACGTTCTTGTTTTTCTTGTCTGCGGCACTCGTAACTTTGCCGCAAAATTGCTTGTTTCCGCTTCCGACCCCTTAACCCTCGACTGCCCACCGCTTTCGCCCACTGATAGATGCCATTATGACCTACTCTTGGGCATAAGTTTTCCCTCTTGGACGACGACGTTGTGGAGGCCGAAGCAACTGGCAGCAATTAAAGCCAATTATTCTGAAATAATTGTTTTAAGCAGATTTCGTGGGCGGCCCTTTGTTGTTTTATTTTGGTTTCTTTTTTTTTTTTTGTGGGTAGGGATTGAGACCGTGTTGTTGTCTTTTTAAGCGCTTTTGGGGTTGACATTTGAGTTTTTGGGTCTTTAAAGCTATTCTCGTTTTCAACTTGCAATGCGAAAAGCTCGTTAAAATAATTTGTCACAGTATTCTGTTTAATTAAAAAGTTTCAAATGAATGTGCGATGCCATTAAATGATTCTTTCCAGCTTCTCTCTCTCGGTTGTTTGTGGTTCTGCATGCCTAAAAAACAATTAACCCAACTGCAATGCTATGCAACGCATGGTTGTCTGTATGTGGGCAAATTTGTATAGGAAGCTCAAATTTACCATAGTGGGAAAAAGCTCGGTAAAAAATGTCATCGGGGAAAAATAAGAGAACCTTTTAACGTTGGTTTACATTAAATATTCCGATGTTTAAGCCTATTAACTGTAATTAAAATGAGTTAAAACACAAGATCATGCTCAATTTAGCTAATTTATTGATGTATTCAATTGATTAAATATCTTCGGTGTGTCTTTTAGAGGCTTATGAAAAGATTTACATGCCGTGAGAAATTTTTTTCACATGTAATTTATTTTCGTATATTTTTTATAAACTTTTTTGTTGAACCTGTTACCAAGCATATGTTTTTATTATTTGTAGAGCACAGTTATCAAGTGTTTTTATTGTTAACAATATAGGTTGAACCTTGTATGTTACTTTTTTTTCAAAATTATTTTCTTTTATGTTTCTGTGAGAAAAATATAAATTGAATATCTGCATACCTATTGAACATAAACTTTCCGTTTTAATTTAGTTTCTTCATAAGCATTTTTTTTTTTTTTTTTTTTTTTAGCAGTTACTCAAGTTAGTGTATCTGACCGCTTTTTGCGAATTGGTTTGTTAGTATCCAATGTATGCATTTGCTTATGTATGCGACTATTTTTCTGCATGTGCATTTCTCTACAATTTCATTTGCCTGCCAAAAAAACAGGAGCAAAAAATGTTCTATACAAAACTCGCAACATCAATGCTGAATGTCTCTATGTGCGTGTGCGTATGTATGTGTGTGGGTCTTTGTGTGTGAGTGGGTGAGTCGCACAATAAAATTTATTGTTGTAGTAGCAATTGTTGTAAGCTCTTTTCGTTTTGTGTGTGTTTGTCACCCACAATGTCCGTCAGGGGCTTCATTGTTCAGCCACATAATTAATTGTCGTAGTTTTCGGGTGTTAAATAATTAGAAAACAAGTTTTTCGGCTATTAATCACTCGAAGAGGGCGAGGGGAGGGAGCTTTTGGGAATATCGTGCTTCTACTTAATGGCCGCAAGTTCTTGCCGTCGAATAAGGCCTCAAATTAACCTCAACACCCCGTCAATAGCCTATAATGCGCTCCTTAAGCTTTAAATGTAACCCATTCTAAATCACAACATAATCCCATAATTTACATAAAATGAAGCCAAATCGCTGGGACAAGCATACAAAGAAGGTTGTGACCCACACACAAAATGGGGAAAAAGAAGTCAAAAAAATAACTTCCCTAGATTTCCCCGCACACAAACATTGGGCTAACGCAATTTGCCCCACTCAAATATCATTATGTCATAAATTGATGTTGAATCCTTGTTCATTTATGAAATTTTCCCATTTTATTTCGTGTCTGTGAATCGGTGGCCGTGTGTGTGTGTGTGAGCGCTTATAAAGTTCACAAGTTCGATTTTCCCAAGTGCTTCGGGGGCGGAAAAATCAAGTGTGTGGGTGTGCACGAATTTAAGTTTTTACGAGTGCTATCAGCATCAGCATCAGCATCAGCGTCATTATTGCCACCATCAGCATTATTCGATTGACCTTCCTAATTGCCAAGGTATCAAGTTTAAAGTGCGTTCGATGAGGTTTGAAGAGATGGAAATTTGCATGGCGAATGTCCTTAAAGCGACCAAAGAGATGATGCTAATGAAACGTCAATTATGTGCGACCGTTTACAAGTAGCAAAAGAATATATTACAAGGTGATTGGATCAACCACGACTATTAGATACCTGTTCATTAATATGTTTATTTGTGTTATATTTTTTTTATAACATGTTGTAATAAGTATAATATTTATTTAGAAAAATATTTTAAAATGTTTGTTATTTTATATGATAATAGTTAGTGCATTTTTAAAACCCTCAAACTTTTCAAACAACGGGTAAAAAAAGGAGCACGTGACCAACTTTGTCAACGCTTGAGGCATATCCAATTTAACCCTCAAATTGCTGCCATTATGACAGCATCAGGAGCAGAGTGAAGGAGCAGAGTGAAGGAGCAGCGCCAGTAGACCCGCTGAGTTATTAGCGAATCGTGATTGGCATAAATCAATGCAGCGGGGGATGCAGGGAATGCACCTGCCGCAGACACTTTGCCAACTCACTGGCCGCTCTTTTAGCCTAATGGGCTTCGAGCCAGTGTAAAATTTATTACTGCCATCCGTATCCGTCCGTTCGTCTGCCATTCAGCTCCTCGACCGAAAGGTCCTTGTCGATGACATTGTTCCGCTGCGGGCTCACCCGTAATCCCACTTACATCAAGATGAATGCCGCTGATGCGCCATTTATGCTGAAATCGAAAGCATATCGATCACATTAACATAGAATAAAGAATAAAAACTGAGTACTGAGTACTGAATACTGAGTGCTGAAGACTAAAGCGGACTTAGCTACGTCGTTTTGGCGCAATGCAGATTTGATTTGCATAGAGAGCTCGGGATTGTTAAGAAATGCAAATGCCGATTGGAATAACTCTGCTAAATAGTTGACCCAACGATCTATTTATGCACTCCTGTTTTTCCGCTCCTTCCCCCCGCTTTGTACGACAAAATGCTGGACAAAGGATTTAATTAGTTTTTCTTTCATTTGCCATGGGAGCGCTGGTGTAATTGCTTTTGAACAGATATCACGACACGCGAGAACATTTCGTGCACGGAGCCCGGGCAAAAGCCAAATTGAAAATTAGAGGAAACGCTGCTCCGGGGAAAAGTGACGACAGGATGCAGTGGGGCAAACCCAACAGCAGCCAGAGCAGGATGCATTTTCTCTAATGAAATACTTGTGTCGTGCGCCTGTCGACATTATTAACAGCTTCCGAACTTTTGAATCTACGAACCGGGCTAAAAAGGGAGCGAAAATGGATTAAAAACTGCAATCGCCAGCGCCAGACACTCAAAGAGAAAATGTGAAAAGTGTGCTAATTTCCATTGAGAGCTGCACTGAAGCAGCAGCATCACAAAGGCAGCGCATGAAAAGTGTTTAATTCAAATGGTGCACTGCAGAAAAAGGATAACTTTGGGTGTAATAGAAATTTAACAAAGTTGAGACACTTTGGATTTTAATTAGTTTATATTAAATCTAAGGACTTCAATCTTAATTGGAATGTTTTGTATACCATCCAATCATTTTAGCAAAAATTCTGTCAATATTTTTTAGATCTTTTACAGTGGAAGATATGAATTACAACAAAGTTTTGGCAAACAAACTTTCCATTTATCCATAGACATTACCATAAGTGTTTTAAAAACTACTTACGTTAGGACTCTGTATACTGTCTTATTGAAAACATTTTTTCTCAGTGCCTTTGGTTTTGACCATGGCCGGAAAAGTAGCTGCTGTTTG